GACCGCCGCCCTATTCTCAGAACTGCGTTTGTTGCGCTGTCCGTCTTGCATCAAGAAGTGGATCGACGGCTTGGCATCGCTGCGGCGGTGCCCCCAATCGCAACGCCGATGCCGCTTACAGCGGCGATGGTGGTGGCACTTGCACTTGCTTGCACTTGCGCCTTGCCATTGCAAATTACATGCGCGCCCGCGTTTGAAGGAACACGCGCGCTTCCGTTTGCGGCGATGGGTAGCCGCTTCCAGCAACTGAGGCCGCTGCTATTGCTACCAAGGGGACATGCCACGGCCGTTGTGGTCATAGCCGCAAGAATCGCAACCCACCGTGTGCCGCCATTATTTTTTCAAGCGTATTTGTTTTGTCGCTGTTGTTGCTTTTGTTGCCAGAGCGCACGAAGCCGCCATTTGGGCTTCAGGTTTTGCCATGCCGATTGATTCGGCGACATCGTTGAAGCAAGGGGCGCAGCCCCCTGAAGGGCAGCCCTTCCCGGGAGACCGAATAGTTCATATATGTGCCCGAAAATTCGGCGACCGCGTCGACTGGGCATTGGATCGGATTGGTTGCGCGCGCCGTATGACTTGCAACGTTTGCAAGCGTAGCAGGCGGCGCTCGCTCCTGTAGCATATGGCGTGTTCGCCGTAGTAGCGGTGTTTGGGCAGGTGGTGCCCGCCCCGCATGTGGCGTTGTGAGAGGGTGCTCGCCCGCTAAAGACTTGAATGTCTTGAAATGGCTTGTCCTGTTCCCCCCCCTCCCATCGCCAGCATCATCATCACCATAACCAGTCTTTTCACCACTATCATCGCCACCATGGCCATCCAAATTGTCTGCCTCGTTACACTTATCGCCGTTGCCATGTCGGCGCAACCCTCAGACGTTTCGCTGCTCCACGGGGGCCCCCGCCGAAAGCCTCAACGGGACAGCCCGCGTGCGTCGCACACACGCCCAATTCAGCACACACACGCACACACACACACACACACTTCACACGCTTGGTGGTCCCATGGGTGGTCCCACTGAAGACTTCAGCGGGGCCGCCCGCGTGCGTCACCCACGCCCACTTCGGCACGCCACTCGCACGTTTCGTGGCGCCATGAGGCGCTCCACCGAAGGCCCCAATGGGGCCACTCGTGCGCGCCACCCGCGCCCAATTCGGCACGCCCCTCACACGTTTGGTGGCGCCGTGGGGAGCTCCACCGAAGGCGACAATAGGACCGCCCGCGTGGGTCACTCTTTTCGGCATGCACCTCATGTGCAACGTGGCTCCCATCTGGGCGCTCCACCGAAAGCCCACATGGGGCCGCCCGCATGCGTTACCCACGCGCAATTCGGTACACCCTCAGGCTTCGTGACACCATTGAGAGCTCCACCGATAAACCAACTGGGGCTGTCCGCGTGCGTCACCACCCACACCAATATTCGGCACACCCTCACACGCTTCGTGCTCAGAGCTCCACCGAAAGCCCCAATGGGACCGTCCGCATGCGTCACCCGCACTCAATTCAGCACACCCTCATACGCTTCGTGGTCACATAGCACCACCGAAGGTTCCAATGCGACCGCCTGCATGCGTCACTCACACCCAAATCGACACACCCCTCGCACGTGTCGTGGGGCCGTAATGGGGGCCCACCGCAAACTCCAATGAGAACGCCTGCGCGCGCCACCTGCATGATTTCGGCGCACCCCTCACGTTGCGCGGCCCCACCCAAGGACCTCCACCGAAGCCCTCGCATGGAGCGCTGGCAGTGAGCAGCTTACCTGCCAACAAAAGGCGCGCCACCATCACCATTTTCACACTATATTTATCATCGTCCTCCTCTGTTCCTTCCTTCTCCTCCTCGTCCAAGCCCTCCCCACTCTCCTCGGCCCCCAGCCATCCCCCTCACCACGCCCTTCTGTTTCCTTCCATCACCCTGCTCCTCCTCCTCGTCCTCGTCCTCCTCCTCCTCCCCAACCACCGCGTCCAAGAGTCAGTTGCTAACGCGCCCCTTCGTTTTCCTCCTGTTCCTCGTCCGTTCTATTTTGCTGGAACTTCCCCCCCTCCCCTCCTTCCCGTCCACCGTCTCCCCCTCTGCTTTCCCCGTCCTCACCCCCTCCTCCGCCCCCCTCCTCAGCCGCGCCGCCCCCCTCCTTCCGCCGCGCCCCCGTCCCGCCTGGGCCGTCATGACCACCTCGCCCTCTTCGTCGTAATTCGACATTCAGATCCCTCGTCCGCTTCTCAACTTTCCGAGGTCTCGATTGGGGGGATCACTTGAAAAGTTGTGTGTGTGTGTGTGTGGGGGGCCGCATGTGGGTGACCCCTCGCCTTGAGTGCAGCAGCAGTTTTTTTGGTGGGGACGTCTCAAGCGGGAACGCCGTGCTAACGTCAGGAATGGACAGGGGCCGTGACGGTACCGTCAGAGGTGACGCCGAGGATGAGGAGGAGGATGGGCGAGGATGGTGGTTGCGATGATGATGACTGACGATGATAATGGTGATGGTGGTGATGGTGATAGTGTCTCTGCAGCTAAGCACGAGCAGGCGTCCCTCGTTGCCACGCCGTCGAAGCTTTTTTGGCTGGAGAGGCGCGCTGGCCGCTGGGCGCAAGCATGTCCGCTGCGCCTTCTTCTAGTAAGCATCCTAGGGGGCCCAGGCCGCCCCCGAGCCCGCCGCCTGCCGTGGCCTTTCAGGCCGCCAAGTGGTCGGCGCCCGCGCCGCATGACGCGCCAGAGGTGCCAGTCGCTGGCATTCCCGTCATGCCTGGGGTCCACCAGCAGCCAGCGCCAATGTGCATTCCGCCACGCCGCACGCGGGCCATGGCAGAGGGGATGCGCGCGGCGGCCGCAGCCGCAGCTCCACGGATCGTCATACAGCCCATCGTCGTGCCTAGCAAAGCTCCGTACCAGGGAGCCAAGAAGCCCTCGGCCGCGCCCGTGTCCTCGAGCGAGCCCGCGCAGCAGACCAGTTCAGAGACCGCAGCGGGGAGCATGTGCAACGCGTCTCCCGTGCAGGTGGATGAAGGCCATGGCGTATTGGCACCACAGCACGCGCCAGCAGATGGCGACGCCACAGGGCCCCCATCGAAGGTTCCGAGGATCTCCGTGGAATACGCCGTGCTCATGGTCAAGGACTTCGCGCCTTGCAGCATCGTGTGTGACGACGGTTCCCCGACGCTCATTTACCACCGACCGCCCGTGGACGCCTTTGAAGCCGTCTGCGCGCAGATGTCCAGGTCACCAGCCGTGGCCACATCCGTGCCCACGTCCGCTAGTGACGGTGGCGACGGGCATGCGACGTCGGCATCTGCCTCCGCGCCAGAGGCTGGAGGCCTTGGCAAAGGCGCCGAGCAGGGCGGCGCGCCGAGCCAGGCGGCCTTGGCAAAGGCCGATGCTTTGGAGAGCGAGGCCGAGGCTCGCAAGGCGTGGGCAGAGATGGCAGCCTCACGTCGCCTCGCTCGCGCAGAGGGACATCTCACCAGCGCAGCAGAGAATGTCTCTGCCGATTGGTTCGCTTACTACGAGTCGTACGAGGCGGCGGCGATGGCCGTGCAAGACTACGAGAGCACAACCATGGAATGTTCGGCCACGGGGCTGGCGCACGCGCACGTTCGCAACGCTACGGATACCGAACTGCAGGCCGTCATCGATGCGATGCGCGACAGCAGATGAGGACATTAGGAGATGATAATCTGATAAGGGATGCTAAGGGGAGATGTGGTGGTTGGAGTGAATTTCTGATAACCTCGGAGGCATCGCCAGCCGCCTTGGAGGCGCGCCCTGGGGCCCGCCGAGAAGTATTCTCGAGCCGTTTTTGTCGGCCCCAGGGCTTCCACACCGAAGGGTCCAGGGGTTCAGTTTCCCAGGGCGTCATCTGGGGTGGGATGTATCTTGTCAGTGGTCTTCTTGAGGTGGCCCACCTTCAACTGGAGCGACAACCCGCCTTGAGCCAATGTGAGTTGCCATTGAGGTCTTTGGAGGCATCGTCTGGTTCTTTGGGGTCGTCTGAGGGCTGTCTTAGGCTGCCACGCGGCTGCCAGTGTGCCAGTGACCCCTTCCCGCCCTTCCACCCGCATCCGGCCTCAGGGGGGGGTGGCGGCGTGCGAGGCCCTCCCCGAAGGGGAAGAATGATGAGGCGGCTGCAATTATGTTCTTAGTCGCTTGCGTGGGGGTTGGTGGCATCGCAAGTGTGCTGCGGTCTTCTCGGCGTCACCCCCCAGGGGGGGGTCGTTGAAGCTTGGTGAATCGATCTTGGGCCGTGCGCCGCATAGGCTCGAGCATTCGACCCGCGCCACAGAGGCGTTTGCGATCCAGGGCTGCAGCGCAAGGCTGACCGAGTTGCCGCGCGCATGTCGGGCGGAGCGAAAAAGAGGGGCTCTGGCGGCGAGGGCCCCCAGGAAGGCTCGTCGCACGCTTCAGACCTGCGGCTGCTGCAGCCGCACGGAGCAGGACCATTTGAAATGAGAGCGTTTCGCAATGGCATCTTTCTTTTCACCGGCGAAGGGGGTGCAAGGGCCTTGTAGGCTCGCGAGCTTTCTGTGTTATGTTTGGGCGTTGGGGTCGCAAGGCCAGGGGGGCCCACAACTTTGTAATTGCTTACCCCTCCCCCGCGCAAGGTCATCATATCAAGCGCGTTTTTGGGCCACAGGGCCCCATTGAATTGGTGGGCGCCCGCTTGATGACTTCCCCTCGAGGCCTTCTTGCTTCCCCCTCGGGTAGTACCGCCGCTAACGCGATGGAAAGCGCCCCTCTGGAAACAATTGTTCTCCACCCTTCTGAGGTCGCCCTAGGGGGATTGCCATCGGCTACATCGGGGCTGGCCCGATCAATGTTGGAAGATATATGTAGCCGTCTGGGGCCATCGCGGACCATCGCTAGTAGTGAGGGGTATGGGTCGCAGGTGCGAGTGCGGCCAGGTGTGCTGGAGGTGCGGTCCTCTTTCCCCTGCCCCCCCAGCAATGTGTACACCACCTCCCTCGATCGTTCCCTCATCGTGTCCTCCCTTCTTTTGTTGGCCGCGCCCGCAGGAGACCACCATGATGGACCAGGTCTACACTTGCAGCAGCGGGTCTGCCGACGGTCCTGCAGTCGAGTACTTCGGCTGCGAGGAGTGCGCGGGCTTCGTTGAGACGCACTTGCCAGGAGTTTCCTTCGCCCAGGTCTGCCGTGACAAGGCACAGGATGAGGAGTTTGCAGCGGAGGTCGAGGAGGCGCCCCAGGCGTCAGATCAGGATCCCAAGTTCACCCCGAGCTTCGGTGAGCACGTGCGCGTGGGCGGCATGGCGTACGAGGACATGATCGCGCCCAACCACTACCAGGTCTTGACGACGTGGGGCAAGACGCCGAAGCAGATGCGCCTCAAGCCGCTCAATTGGACTTCCCGCACTGGTGAGAAGATCACAGTCTACCCGATGAAGGAGACAGAGGGTCGTGGCTACGCATCCGCATGTTCAGTGAGATCGCCGACGTCAGCCAGACGAATATCATGACAGACGTGAGCGGCTTGATGGACTCGCAGATGGGGCGCGTGATGGCGGCGCGGCTCTCGGACAAGAACAATGAGAAGGCAGCGTTCTCGACATTTCGTTTGGCCACCCTTAGCACTATCAACGAGAGGTCGAGGCAGCTGGGCGGCAACGAGATCCCCCTCCCGCTTCGCAGCTCAGGCGGGTCTGCGGCCGCCGCCGCCTCCGCGCAACCACAGCAGCGGGGCGTCGTCCTCCCACTTCGGGAGAGAAGCCGCCAGTCTGGCGCATCAGCGGCTGCTGCAAGTGGATCAGCGCTGGCCGTCGAGGATGGTTCGTTCGCCGCTGATGCTGATGGGATCGATGGCGACGAGCTCGACGATTGCGACCTCGTATCGAGTGACGAAGCGGCAGCCGCGCTAGCTCGCCCAGCGCCCTCGCCGCCGAAGGGCTCGCTGACCCCGTGCGGCGGCAGCCGCGGTCGGTCCTCGACGCCAGCTGCTGCTCGCTTGGGCCGCAGAGGCCGCCAGGGCTCAGCCTCCCAGCTGGAGCTCAGCAGCGATTCCAAGAAGAGCGCGACCTCCCAGAAGCCAGTGTTTGACAAGGGGACGCCTGAGTATTGGATCCAGCAGACCGACGTCGCGAGCATCGTGGCGGGCGGCAAACCAGGTCAGGGTCCTAACCAATTGGAGGCGCTCCTGAAGACATGTGCAGAAGGAAAGCGCCCCGCCATCAGAGCCCACCTGGAGCTGGTCAGTGCCGCGAAGGAGGTGGCCAGGATGAAGGCGGTGGAGGAGACGAGCTTGCACGCGCACCTGGACAAGCTGAAGACTGCCGTTGGCGCTCTGCCGGCGAGTGTCTGCGTTAAAGTTCTCACCCAGTCGTCGACTAAGCATCGGAAACAGTTGCTCTCAGAGCCCCCCAGCGCCGAAGGTCTCATCAAGTACATGTCCATGTTCCGCCTCTGGAAGGACCCCGCGAAAGACAGGGACTGCGACCACCGCGCCCCAACGTTGATGGCAACCGGCGCCCCTGCACAGGAGGCTGGCAAAGTATTCTTCGATGAGGTGATCGTGGAATTCTTGGTGCCGCTCATCCTCGGTGACGCGCCCAAGGAGGAGGCAGTCCTGGAGTTCGCGCGGTGCGGTCAGCAGGCCTTGGCACTCCCAGAGTTCGCAGATATCGACGACGACTGCGCTGAGGCCATCGTTACGGCGCAGCAGCTCTTCAGCGCCGTGATCGCGTTGACTTGCAAGACGGTCGTCAAGAACACCGCAGTCGACGTGTGCGACGACATCCAGAGCCTGGGCGCCTCCACCGCCACGGGTGGCACCACTGTTTGGACACAGGTGGGCGCTGCGATCCAGGAGTCTCCGCACTGGAACAGGCTCCGCACCACCGTTGTGAAGTCAATCAAGGCATTGAAGGAGGTAGCGCCCTTGATCGCGAAGGACATTGCTTCGTGGGAGTCCATCTCGGCCACGAGGGCGCTCGAGGACGTGCCCAACAAGGCGCTCGCGTTGACCAACAGGCTGCCTCAGTACATTGCTCGACTTGGGGGCGAAGCGGTTGAGGACCTGGAGGCGAGCGCCATTACTTACCACTATCATGAAGATGACGGACATGCTCATGAAGAGGGACTTCGACGGCGATGCGAGCACAGACGACGCGAGGTACATTAGCTTGCTGAAGTCTTTCAAGTCCGTCGCCGAGAAGGCATTCAATATCTGCAAGTCCAGCGACTCCTTGGCCACGCTGCTGAAGACCATCGACGACCACATCAGGGAGTTCAGCGTGAAGCTGCAGTCCGACGACTTGTCCGCCACCTTTGAGGGGTTCATCAAGGAGGACTTCAACCTCGCGAAGCTCGCAGCGGACGACGCGGACGCCCAGGGGAGGATCTTCACGACTATGTCGGTGATCAGGCACACGGTCAACGTCCGCAAGACTTGGCTCAGGCTGATTGGCAATGCTGAAAACTACTCCGAGGCGGTTGACAGCGACAAGACCGAGAAGCTTTGGAAGGCGTTCCAGAAGTCTATTGTGGATTACGATGCGTTCGTTGCGTCGCAGTGTACTCCTGAGGAGCTCGATTCACTCATGAAGGCGATCGGCAGTGAGTTCCATGAGAACGCCACCAAGTTCATCGACCAGGCGAAGGGCGTGAAGGCCGACATCGTAGTGATCAAGGTGGGGAAGTTGAAGGCGGAGATCGAGAACGCTCGCTGTTCTACGGAGAAGGTGTCGGACGGGATGGTGCAGTTCAAGCAGTGGTGCATGCGCGTGAAGGACGAGTCGAGCTGGGACGAGATCTCTGCACTTGGAGCCGAACTCCAGGGTATTGATTTCCAGCCGCTCTACGATGGCATCGATATGCTGTTGCAGGCGCAGCGAGACAACGACGCTTTGACAACTCAGACGGGGGTCCAGGATCTGGAGTCTAGTCGGGCGCGGTTAACATCCCAAGCGATGGTGCCATGCAGTACGGTATAGGCCAGGGTGCTGGGTGAGTGGGCCCTCAGGGGCCCGAGGCCGTTTTGTCGGTGAGAGGGGTGAGCTTGTGAAATCATAGTTTCGGTTAGCGGGTGGTATTTGTCAGCGTCGTTGTTTCGCGGCGACATGCAGGCGGTGAGCACGTATAAGACGAAAGCTCGTGCATATGGTGATGATCTAGACGATGTGGTCATCAATCAGATCGACGATTTCAAGACCAGAGTTGTTTCACGTGCCGCCTCCATGGAGATCGTTGCGAAGCTCACCGACAGCAAGCTGATTCCAAACGAGATGTTCATGCGCACAGCGTGCTCCAAGGTCGGCAGCACCCTTCGCAAGTACGAGGTTCCCAGTGATAGGATCCACCCAGAGATCGCGACCAGGGTGTAGCAGGCAATGACCTTGCAGTTCAAAGGGTGATTGAGCTCGCCAGTGTAAGGCGCCGTTCGCCCGATGCCTTGGGTTGCGCAGCCGCGCAACAGGATTCGAGAGTTCGTGGTCGAGCCTGGGCGCGGGTGAACTGTGGCACTCTGGTCCTTGTCATTGCATTGCCGCCGAATCGTCTTGCCTGATCCCCCTTGGGACCATCGTGCGCTCGAGCTGCGCTTGATTGCAGGCGCACCTGCTAAGTGGAAGGGGGGCGGGGTGCAGCCCTTGCGGGGTCTCTTGGGAGCTTCTTGCGGGGTCGCTTGCGTCCCATGGCCCTCTTTGGGTTCTACGAGGCCGTCAAGGCGACTCAGGGTGGGTTCAATGCAAGCCAAGGCGGCCCCACGACGACCCAAGATGGACCCACTAAGGCCCAAGACGGCCCCACTACGATCCCAAGATGGCCGATTGCGGGCGTCCGACGACGGCCCGAAACCTTCCCAAGAGGCACCCGAGAGGCCCCAAGAACCCTTCACTGTATTTCCAAGAGGCTACACATTAGTCTCCACGATACCATTTTCTTTTGCTGAGCGCATGGGCTTGCACGTGTTTGCACGCGCGTGCGTGCGCGGGCTAGGAGGAGGATGCAAGGGTGGAAGAGGATGGGACTGGTGCTGGGGAGGGGGCGGCGACGAGGGGAATGGAGGATTACGGCGTGGAGGTGTGGGGCCTCGCCTCTTCCTCCTTCTCTTCTTCCTCCTCTTCCTCCTCATTCTTCTCATTTTCCTCATTGCCTTTCTCCTCCTCCTCCTCACTAGCTGGCTGTTGTGATCGGTGCACCCCTTATCGTTTGAAACACTTTTGACTTACAGCTCCTCCATCGTGTTCTGTCGCCCTCCGCCCCTCCGACTTTCCCCCGTTCGCCCTCCTCTTCCGCGCCGCTGGCTCGTTTCAAGCTTAATATTGTTCATCGGTTGCGATCGCATGGTAGCGGGGCAGCGGATTGGGCTTGAATGCGGCTGGCGCGCGATAGAGCGCGCTACCACGCCGCAGGTGATATGTGAACGTCGCGGCGTTTTGCGGCCCACCGTCGGTGGGCCGACGTCTGTTGTAGCTGGCGCAACTCGAGAGAGGTGGGCGCCCACGTGGGCGGAGGTGCGCGAGATCCCGAGTCGGCGTTTAGTTTCTGGGGCCATGGGGTTCGCGGGCGGCACCGCGACCCCGACGAGCTCGAAAGAGGCTGCGCTGCGGCCTTGATCCGACGACCGAAGTAAGCCGCGTGGGCACTCGCCCGATTAGGCCTGTGGCCGATTGAATGTTCCAGGTGCTCTTCAGCATGATGCGCCAATGCGCAGAGGTGTTGCAGTTGAGGTGGCCGCGCGGTTTCCCTTCGCCCGCGCGCATTTTGCGCGGGGCATTGGAGCGTTTGCGCATGGGGGGGTGGGGGTGGGGTGGGTGGGGGGGGGTGCGCGCCCGAACTCGCTCGCGCGCGCGCTTTCGCGCGCGCGGGGCCCGCGCTCGGGCGCGTGAGCCGTCGGTTTGCTTTGAGCGTGCAAGCCCGCCTTTGGGCGTGCAGGCGCGCGGGCTGTGCGGGTGCCCATAGGTGCGTTACGCGCGCTTTGGCGCTGCGCGCCAGCCGAACGGCCTCGCTTGTAAGCAGTCTGCCACGTGCGAAACATGCGCGCTCGTACATTGTTTCAAGAGCTGCGCGGGTGCAGGACGCCCGACGCTGGACGCCCGCGCTCGTTGAGAATGGTCGCGCGCATCTGCGTGACCCGTGGATGCTCGGTTGGCTTCCCGCGCGACAGATCGCGCTCGGGTCTTTGCGCGCGATCGCCAAAGTACATTCGCGCGCCCCGTCGTTAGTGTAGGTGGCGTCTTTCCTGACTCTAGGCTAGCCGCTTGCCTAGCGTAGTAGGCGGTTGCGCACAGGGCTCCCTGCGGCTGTTGCCAGCAGCGGCGGTGCGTCCAATCGAGGCGCCGTCGCAATTTCGCTTGGATTGGTTTTCCCGCAACCTCAAAAACAGCCTTTGGGAAGCCTTTTTGTAACTTGACTTCTGGAGCCGTTCCAGAGCCTTTTAGGAGCCTTTAGGGTTCCTGGGTGCGTTCAAGTCTTTAGCGGGGTGCACCCATCACAAAACTAGCTCTACCCCGCGCCGGAAGTCCTCTAGCTCATCGACTAGGAACCAGCGGTAAACCGTCAACCAGGTTACCGCCAGGCACCTCGTAGAGCTCTTTTGTTCCACAGCGCTTCTCCAGACACATGAGGGAAGCGTCTGAAGCGAGAGCCGAATAATTCTTAAAATCACGAATTTTCGGTTTTCATCAAAAATCGGTTCCGCCAAGTCTTTTGATAGTAATACTGCACCTACGGACCTGAGAGTTTTACTGGCGGACGCGGCATAATCCACTACAGCTGCGAAAAATCTGCTTTCTCAACATGAATGGTGACCTATCTTTCAAATGTTCGCAAAACCGACCAAAAGTCATCACTTTGTCCTTTCTCGTCGGGTCGACCAACTGGCACCGGCGGTGAACCGTCAACCTGGTCAGCACCGGGAACCTCGTAGAGCTCCTTTCACGCGTGAGAGTGCTCAGAGTCGAAGGAGAGAGCTTCTGGAGGCATTTCTCAAAAAATCGAACATTCATTTTTTCATGTAGACATAAAGTTGGTTGCGCCAAGTGTTTTGATAGTGCATGTGCGCCTACAGAGCACATGTTAAGACGCAGAGGCCCTCACAGTCGTCTACAGATGCGAAAAATCTGCTTTCCCAGAATAAATGGTCAAATATCTTTCGAATTTTCGCAAAACCGACCCAAAGTTACCACATCTTCTTTTCTGGTCGGGTCGACAAACTGGCGCCGGCGGTGAACCGTCAACCTGGTCACCGCCGGGAACCTCGTAGAGCTCCTTCCACGCGTGAGAGTGCTCAGAGTCGAAAGAGAGAGCTTCTGGAGGCATTTCTCGAAAAAGGCAGAATTATTTTTTCTCATGTCGACATAAAGATGGTCCCGCCAAGTGTTTTGATAGTAAAAGTGCGCCTATATAGCTCATATTAAGACTGAGAGGCCCTCATAATCGTTTGCAGGTGCGAAAAATTGGTTTTCTCAAAATAAATTGCCAAATATCTTTTGAATCTCAGCAAAACCGACCAAAAGTTATCACTTTGTCCGTCCGAGCCGGGTGGGCCAATTGGCGCCGGCGGTGAACCGTCAACCTGGTCTTTTGCGTCTTTTGCGAAGGCCGGTTCGACCTCCCATGGGAGCAGGCCTAAACACAAAGAGCCTAAACAGCGAAGCTGTACAGGAAGACGGCGAAACTGCAAATATTAAAGCAGAGGTGCATCAAACAGCGAAGCTGTACAGATATGCACAAGACTGCCAATACACGAGAAGACAAACACTAATAGAAAGAGGGAAGCAAAGCAGTGCGAGACCATGCAGTAACCACATATAGCGATTACCGTCTCAGCACCACTGAAAATAAAAGCAGTGTAGTGTCGACTAGATCAAAGGCCTACTTTGAGGCACCACGTGACAAATCACGGAAAGTCACGTTCAAAAGTCGTGTGAAACCATGTCTAAGTGAAACCTGGTCGTGTGCTTTGACACCATCCTGAAATTTCATACAAAATCAAATGTAAGCAAAGAGAGCGTAACAAATCCGCTTATGAGACCTGCCAGCGGAGAGCGGAAGGAAAGCCAGCGGGAGAGCGGGAGGAGCCCAAAGAGCCAAAGCGAGCCCAGGGGCAGAAACAGCGGGGGAAAGAGAGGGGGGCAGACCAAAACATACGTGCAGGATCAATCACATGTGCATCATCCAATGCGGAACAACCCTGATCGAGTTTTGTCCCTTGGGCTATTTGCTTGCGTGGCCGTTTGCTTGCGCGCAATCATGTTGGATCTGGTGTTGGGACTCTGTAGATGCAAGTCTTTGTTCCCTACCTAGGCTCTGCCTAGAAGGGTTCGTACTCTCTGGGCTTAAAGGGGCCGGGTAGCGGAAAGCGCCCCGGGCGGCTACCCCAGTATCCGCCCCGCGGTTCCCCCAGTTGCGCTCCCTGGGTGCCAAGCAACAGCAAAAGCAAAGGCAACATTGAAGGCAAAAGCGAAGGCGAAGCAACATCATAGCATAGCATAGCATAGCATAACATAGCATAGCGCAGCACAGCATAGCGCAGCATAGCATCGCACAGCATAGCATAGCATATCATAGCCTAGGCTAGCCTAGCCTAGCCCAGCATAGTATTGCGCAACATAGTATAGCATAGCATAGCATAGCATAGCATAACACAGCATAGCTGTTGATGTAGATGTAGATGTAGATGCAGGTGTAGATGCAGATGTAGCTGTAGGTGTAGATGTAGATGTAGGTCTAGATGTAGATGTAGGTGTCGATGTAGATGTAGGTGTAGATATAGATGTAGATGTAAAGAACTCCCCAGTGCCCCGCCCTCATCTCCGTGCCTGCTTGCTTTTGCTGCTGTCTCGGCGACTTGCTGCCTGCTTCTGCTGCTGCTTCACTTACGGCGTGGCGTCGGCGGTTCTGGCGCTACTACTACTACTACGACTACTACTACTACTACTACTACTACTACTACTACTACTACTACTACTACTACTACTACTACCACTACTACCACTACTACTACTACTACTACTACTACTACTACTACTACTACTACTACTACTACTACTACTACTACTACTACTACTACTACTACTACTACTACTACTACTACCTACTACTACTACTACCGCTACTGCTACAACTACGACGATGAGGAGAAGGAGGAGGACGGCGTTTACCGCTCCTACTAATGTTGCTTTCCTAGAGGCTCCAACTCCTAGGTAGGGTCGCACTGGGGGAATTTTAATGTAGTCTTTAAAAAAACTGCCCAAGAGGCCTCCGTGTTTGAAGGATTTTGGGGTGCTCCTTTTCTGCCTGTCCTCTACATCGCCCTTGCTCGGGACGTCTTTGCGGTTCTGATGCTCAGCCGGCTCCCCCTTGGAACGTCTTCGCATGT